GGGGGTTTGGGGCTTCAGGGGAGCTGGGGGGGCATTGGGGGGTAATAAGGGAGCTGGAGGTCAAGGGGGGCAGGGAAAGCTCGTCTTCCCTGTCGCCCCCCAACCGAATCCACCACCCCCCCTGCAGGGCTACACGCGCCAGGGGCTGAAGATCGGCATCACGCAGCCGCGGCGTGTGGCCGCCATGAGCGTGGCCGCCCGCGTGGCCGTCGAGATGGGCACTAAGCTGGGCAATGAGGTGACGCAGGGACACGGCGGGGACATGGGGACACAGGGGGAGACATGGGGACGTGGAGCGATGGGGACATGAGGGGTGTGGGACACCCTGAGGGGTGGCTCTGGTGACCTGAGGGTGGCAGGGGAACCTGGGGACACGTCCCTGTCCCAAAGGGACCCTGAGGAACCCTGGGGATGTGGCCTTGTCCCAAGGGGACCCTGGGGACACATCCACATGCTGGGGTCGTGTCCCCCTTGCAAGGGACCCAGGGGACACCTTGCCATCCTGGGGACCGTAGGGGACACTGGGGACAGGTCCTTGTCCCAGGGAGCCCTGAGGAACACTGGGGGCACTAATGACATGTCTCAATCTTTGGGGACCTTAGGGAACTTGTCTGCATTTTAGGGGACCCTGAGGAAGATGTCCCCATTGTGGGGACCTCAGGGGACATAGGGGACATGTCTCTGTCCCAGAGAACCCTGAGCACACAGGGAACCCTAATGTCATGTCCCTGTCCTAGTGGACTCTAGGTGACACGTCCCCATCCTAGGGGACCCCAGGGAAGATGTCGCCATCCTGGGGACCGCAGGGGACACATCCCCATCCCAGGACACCCCAGGGGGACATTAGGGCACCCTGGGCAAGCGAGGGGTGTCCAGGAGACCCTGGGGACAGTTTGGGACCCTGGGGACTGCTGGGGAGGGGTTAAGGGACTCAGAGGGGGGGAGTCGGGGGACACTGGGCCCTGCTGGTGACATGTCCCGTGTCCCCAGGTGGGGTACAGCATCCGCTTCGAGGACTGCACGTCGGAGCGGACGGTGCTGAAGTACATGACGGACGGGATGCTGCTGCGGGAGTTCCTGACCGAGCCCGACCTCGGCTCCTACAGGTGGCCTTGGGGACACTGGGGACACAGAGGGGACATCGGGGACACGGGGGACACCAGAGATGCTGGGGACACCAAGGATGATGGGGACATGGGGGGCATCGGGATGTTGGGGGAGAGCAGAGGGATTGGGCACGTTGGGGACGTCAGAGGCTGGGGGACCGTGGGGACATTAGGGACGTTGGGGACATGCGGATGGGGACAATAAGGTGGGGGGGGAGGTTGACAGTGGGGGGGAGCTGGGGAATATCTGGGGGGTGTGATTGGGGACATTGTGGGGATGGGGGGCAGTTGGGGACAGTGGGGGGACATTGGGGACACAGCAGGGGACTGGCAGAGCAGCCACATGCCCCCGTTGCTGTCCTTGTCCTTAGTCTTACTGGTGTCACTTTGGTGTCCCCATGTCCCTGTCCCCATGTGCTTGTGCCTGTCTCCATGTCTCTGTGTCTTGTCTCACATCCCAACACTCCTGTGACTGTCCCCACGCCTGTCCCTGCATCCCCACGCCTGTTCCCGTGTCCCCATACTTGTCCCTATACTTCTCCCCACATCGCCACGCTTGTCCTCACACTTGTTCCCATGTCCCTTCATTTGTCCCCGTGTCCCTATACCTGGTCCCTGTGCTTTTTCCGTGTTCTCACACCTGTCCCCATGACCCCATACCTGTCCCCACGCTTGTCCCTGTGTCCCCACACTTGTTCTCCTGTCCCCGTACCTGTCCCCACGCTTGTCCCTGCGCCCCCATATGTGTCCCCCATCCCCATACCTGTCCCCACACTTGTCCCCACATCCCCACACCCATCGCCCCCTCCCCATACCTGTCCCCACGCTTGTCCCTGTGTCCCCATATGTGTCCCCATGCCCATCCCCCGCCATCCCTGCAGCGTGATCATGGTGGACGAGGCCCACGAGCGCACCCTGCACACCGATGTCCTCTTCGGGCTGATCAAGGACATCGCCCGGTTCCGTCCCCAGCTGAAGGTGCTGGTGGCCTCGGCCACCCTCGACACCCAGCGCTTCTCCGCCTTCTTCGACCAGGCCCCCGTCTTCCGTATCCCTGGGCGCCGCTTCCCCGTTGACATCTACTACACCAAGGTGACACGGGG